AATAATAATAATAATAAATAATAATAATAATAATAATAATAATAATAAAGACTTATATTAACAATTACCTGTATGAGTAGCGGGCGACAGTAACGTTTCTATGGGTCTCTGTCGCGAGCCAGACTAGTCTGGGGATCTTTGTTCAAAAGACATCGTTCACAGTTTTCGTAAAGGAGTCTGACCATCGCGCTGGCGGCTGTCCTGGTGCTTATTGAACGTCCCGAGGGATCCACTAAGTAACCGTCCTGGTCCAACGGTCACCACTATATCGCATAACGTATTCGGCACACCTTATTTTTGAGTAGTTGGCGTATTCAAAGGCATCTCTGATCTTTGTTAGTTGTCGGAACTTGCAACCACGGATTCCTCTCACACTCAGCACTTGCGTGTATAGAGAGGTTCGAATCATCTCCCTCTCCACACCGCGTTAAATGACGCTGTCTGCATGCTCATCGTGCATTTGAAGAAATTTCTCCATTTCTCTGAAGACATGTCAAAGCAAGAATTACGACAGGGTCGAGAAGGTGAGCGCGAAGATGAATGTTCTTTGTCATCCTCAACATTCTCTCGACGTTTTTAAATTCTCTCTACGCGCGCTGCGCGCTTCCTTCTGCTCGGTCGTTGACTTCCCGGCCGAGATACACATAGCTAGAGCATTCGGAGATATTCGTTCCGTTTAGCGTGAAGGGAGCCTCAGGTACCAATCCGTTTTTCATGAACATAGTCTCAGATAAGTTCAGTATTGAGCCGATCGTTCCGCAAGGGCTGTCAAACTCGGCCAGCATTCGTTCCGCCGACTCGATATTTGGTGTTAAACGCACGACGTCGCCTGCTCTCCTCTGTCGAGATGATGTAAGTGGCGACCGCCGACCTTCACTTCCAAGCCATCCCATTCCAAATGACGCCTGATGGTCTCGAGGGTACCCCTATTTTCACGTTGATGATGACTTTGTAGAATGTCGTGGTCCTGGCCGTGAAGTTGTAGAGCTCACGAAGCATCCTCGTTTGTTACGTAGAAGCCTTCCACTCTCGCGATCTTACTTGTATAATCCCCCAAGTGTGTGTGTGTGCGTGTTGTGTATGTGTGCGTTGTGTGTAAGTGTGGTGTGTGTTGTGTGTGTGTGTGGTGGTGTGTGGTGTGTGTATTCTTCATCGATGTTATCGTTAACGGAATCCTCCCAAAACCTCGCAAATGAAGCGATGTAGTCGCAGTTGACAATAGCCTTGGGGCTTCTTTTCCTTAGGTTCGCAGCTCTCTCTCTACGCACTGAAAAGCAGAATCTAACGCGGAGACGATGGTCTGACCCCGTGTAGAACTTCGAAACGACAGTGACGTTAGTTAGGCAAGTCAGAATGTGATCTATTTCATTACGGGTCTATCCACTAGGCGACTCATATGTCATCACAAATGAGAGCGCTTCTGAAACTGCGAATTACCATGGATGGTGAAGGGTGGCATTATGGGTTCGGACAGCGTTTCACTCAGCTCATTACATTCCATCCCCCATGTAGAGCTCTTCAGCCGTTCTTCTGGGGCCAATCTTGGCGTTGAAATCACGGACGATGACCTTGAAGAAAGCATGGTCCTTTCTATAGAGCCTCTCCAGATACATATTAAACGCTTCCAACTCTTCTCCTTCGTAGTTCGATGTTGGTGCGAAGACATCGAAGATTGTTAGAGCTGGGGTTGAGCCACATCTTCTCCATCGCAAACGTCCGATTCGGGTTGTCAAGCTTTCGCACGAAGCTTCGTCCGGGCGATGTCTTCGCATCTGGGTCAGCCCGATGACGCCATTCTTGATCTTCATAGCTTGCACCACCAGATCTCCGTTCGGTACGCTTCCGATGTAAGCGTAAGCGTTCGCGCATTGAAAATAGTGATCGCCATTTTAGTCCTTCTCCGTGAAGCTTAACAGGCTCTGACACATGTAGGCAACCCACTCTTGGCCGTGCGGGCATGCAAACATGCTTTTGAATTATTAGTCATATATACAGGGTGGGTCAAAATTATGATTACACAGACATCACATCCCCGAAAACGAATAGAAAGCTAAAAAAGCAAACCAATTTCATAAAAGTGTCTATCACTAATCTCTTATCAAAATAGAACATTGAGACTGGGATCCGTAGCTATCTGCTTTCACCCAACCCCAGAGACGATGATGGACAACATTAGCGGTGGCACGCAGCTAAGGTCCCCGAGTTGATCCCTGATTCTTGCAAGGCATTTTCGAGATTATTTCACTTCTTGTTTGGGCTAACGAATGCTCTCACTCGAAGGCTGACCACACCGAGAAATCCATGGGATTTAGGTAAGGGCTCCAGAGTTGTCTCTGATCGAAGGCTATGAACTCAGGGGACCCCTTTTACGGAATTTCTTGACAATTTCTGATATGCAGCCAGGAGCATCATCTTGACAATATGTCCGGTTTGAATCGCCAAAGTCCTATTGCGCACGAAGAGATGGAACAGGTCTTCAAATCAACTTTTACTCCTTATTTTACAAAAATAATCGGTGCTTCTGCCTTGGCGGTGACGCTCCCAAGGGATATCGCAGAAAGTGAGAAAGCCTAGCGCTGCATCACTTCAATTTTTTCAGCTTTATACAAATCTTGTAGCCCTGCTTGTTGGGCGCCTTTTTCACTGCGGATATCTTTCCGCCGGTGAACAGGAATCCCGTGCGACAATTTTTTGTGTATGCGGCGGGGCAGCTTTGGTGAGCCAACATTTCTCTTCTCTTTAGTCTGCTCACTGGGGAAATCACTTTCTGATCGTGTGAAGGCCTTGTCGTGCAGATGATGCTTCACGATTTGCGCAGAAAACTTCATGAGATGTCCATTTATTTAGTCATTTTGGGCTCAGAATGAACATCGCTGCTACGCAGACCCGCCCTGCTCCATTAAAACTCCCACTAAATATAACCGCAGGCCTCTTAGGTTTACCACTCCTATCTGTAATTGTTCCTAACTCTCGAAAGCGTCTTTTAATCGAATGCACCCCCTGCCCTGTTACGCTGAGTCGTCTGTAGATGCATCGTGCCAAAAGTGCTTGTAAATGCAAAGTGACGATTTATTCACAGGGTAATTACGCTTACATTATTTCCAAAATCTACCGAAAGTTTAGTATCATCAGGAAAGTAATAATGTAATCTACCTTGTGAAATAGAGGAAAGCGAACGAATTGCTATGATCTCAGAAAAAATTCGTTATGAGCGTCAGCGCGCGCTGTAATCTTAATTTTGGCCCACCCTGTAATCCTACTGTATAAAATTTGCTAAGTATGTCTATTAGCTTGTCGGTGTGTTTGTGCGTGTCGGTATGTGTTTGACCGGAAATTCATAACTACTGTTCCCGCGGGAGTAGAGCGTTCAAATTTGCCAGGAATAAAGTGGCAAGATTAGACTCCGTTCATAGGGGCTTGCGCGAAATAAATGGACGACCGCAAATCCATAACTCCTGTTCCCTTGGACCTAGAGCGTTAAAATTTGGTAGGAGTAAAGGCCGCAGGATTGGAAAACACAAAGCAACTGGCAAGACCAGACTCCGGTCACAGAAGGCGAGGCATGCGTGATAGAAATTCTCTACCGCGAATTCATAACTCTTGTTTACGTGGACCTAGAGCTTTGAATTTGGTAGGATTAGAGTTTTCTCATTAACAATGGAACCTAGGCTTTTTTTAAAATGATGTAGAGTGAAACGGAATCGCAGGCATTTGGTCGACAGGAAGTAAAAATATTAAGAGAAGATAAGGGGCTTACGAGAGCGAGAGCCACCTACCGATCAAACTCCTACCGTCTTCGGTACTTACGATGCAGCTTTCACTGTTCAGTATGTTTCATTCGATAAGACGGGGTGGTAGAGTAGGGTGACAAAGATGAGGCGTAAGTGCAGTGAAAGTTACCCATTATCGGCACAACGATGAGCAGATGAGAATTTGGTTTATTTCTTGCTATATGATCACGATCGCTGCACAGGAAGGTTTGTGACTCAATGAAGTACATTCTTTGTTCGGTAACATTTGATCGACCGCCAGTTATCTGGAATTGTCAACTAATGATACCTACGTGAAGAAAAAGGTCCATTGATAGCGACATATGAAACATAATGGTGTAACCATCACTCGGAACATTTGAGTACCACCCAAGGCTTTGGTTGCCTAACAGTTGCATCTTTATTGAGTATTTACTTCTAGGAACGAGAGCAAAAGATCGAGACTTCCAATTGAAGACGTAATTACCAGGAAGTGGATTCTGTGTCGAACTTCGTGTACGAGAAAATATTATTTGTTTCAAAGGAGTGCAGAGTTAGTCGATAACTGAAACTTTGTCAAAGAAGGGGGAAGCCCGGCGTTGGTGGTATATATAATTCTATAATCCTTAATGAGGAACAATAATGGAAGCCTAACACAAAATTCCAGGCTAACAAAAACCCCAGTAGAAAGCGTTGGCGAGAAATTACGGTGAAGTCCAAATCATATCCGAGACAAGAAATCTCGGCTTCCCACTCACGCGGTAATTCCTGCTTCTACGTATGGTCGGAGAATTGGACTCTATGAAAGAAGGACGAAGTTGCTGTCAGCATCATTCAATGCGCTTTGGAAAAGACGATGCTCGGAACTTCTCTATACACGCAAGTGCAGAAGGGAACCCGGAATTCTAATTTCCGTCAACGAACGAAGATAAGGGAACCGTTGCACACGCTGATAAATTGGACCAGGGCTGTTACTGATTGTACCCCCTAGGACGTCCAACGAACACCAGGATGGCCGCCAGGGCGATGACTAAACTTCTTTACGAGAACTGTGAACGGAGAGAATGCTATGCATTGTATCCCTCGAGCAAGGACGATCCACTGGAGTACTCTGGCTCGCGACAGGGACGAATGGAGACGTTACTGTCGTCCGCTCAGAGAAATCGACGATCAACGGGACGACAGGTAAAAGATGAAAATTTCAAAGACTTTTGTGTCCTCAAACTCAATCAGGGTCGCCTACGAAGCAACTCTAATAAAGCAATACCCGTGAGTTGAGAGGGGGATGGCACAGACGAGTTTCACGAGACAGAAACTGCATTGTGTGAGCGAGGTGGCAGTTAAAAGCCCATGGGCCGGGTGGTGAAATGGCTTCGAAGGCGGCGCCAGACGAAACGAACTCCCCCAAAAAAAACAGTTTCCCACACTACTTGGTAGCACTTAGAAAGCCTTAGTAAACCCTGGTTCGAATGCGCATGGTCTCTGCTTCGTTGAACATCGGTAATTGCGCAGGAAAGCTATTGTTTGAATCATATCGCGAAGATTTAGATCCTATTCTCTGACTTGGATGCCAAGATCGGTTGAAGCAGGTCAATAACCTATAACGATGTCTGCCAAAAAAATGTAAGTTTCTAATAATGCTGTTAACTAGTTCACAAAAAATCCTTTCAGAATATCCTGAAAGCAACAAAAAACCGACAATTGAGTACCACTGGTGACCGCTCAAACTGCTGCAAATTCCCTCAAATTTCTAATGGGCGATCACTAGCGCTAGTGTGCTAATGAACGGTCGGGTCTTGTTTATACGTGTTGTGCATGTAGTGGAATACTGAGCCGCACACGCAGAACGTGGTTTACGGTGAATCATTCAAAGACTTGGCTTTTATTTGGTAAAAACTTTCAATAGGCTTTTATGTTGCTACCCAGGGCCATCTGCGTGCGGCGCAGCGTTTAACAAATTCAAGAAAAATGGCTAACGTGACCTGCAGAATTCCTCAACTCGGTAGGCGTTGAAGGAGGAAAGGCGGATGAGAGAATCATAGCTTTGTTCTCACCGGAAAACCTTTTTTTCTTGGCATATTCCCAAAGTTCACGCTAAAACTATAATTTCACACTGGCTTACAACGCATGGTGATGGTGAGCACCTGATGTTCAGGAAGGAGTGCAAATCTGGTACCGGACAGACAAACATTTCTATGCGCGGCTTCAGAATGATGTGCGGCGACCTTTGTCCACTTTTCCCGTACCTAAACATTTTGCATGCATACTAGTGATTGCGTTTCAACTCAGTCTCAAAATAACCGCTCACATTACCTCTAAAGCATTCTTTTCCTTCGTATCAATGGAGCCGAAAGAATGACCTTCTTCTTCGTCTTCAAAACAATATGCGTCATCCAAATCTGAAATGTCGTAATGATGCTCGCATGAAAATCACAGAACAGTACCAAACCTTAATATCACCAGCAAACACCTCTTTTTGCTTCCACGCTATTCTGGTAGGTTAGGGCTACGTCGCCTCTCGTTTGCTTATAGATCGGGATCTTGTTACACTTTTGTACAGGGCGTGTGACGAGAGGTTCTTTTTTGAATGAAGATGGCGAAGGAGCTGCTATAGGTTTGGAGAACACTAGGAAAGGATTCAAGTTAGACTAGAAACTTCGTTTCAAAAACATTGAAAGCCTACCATTTCTTTTTTTGCAAACTCCTAGTACAGGTGCGTCCAGTTGAAGGGGAATGGGCGATGATCCAAGATGAACCGAAGACGTGGAGTGTTCCGTGAACATTTCAATGATATTAGGTTCAGCTGCTCCAGAAGAAGGGGAATCGGGTGGAGTGAACTGGAAACATCTTGATGGAAATCTGCTGCTAAACTATTTTTTCCTATGGAAGAGTAATGGGACCTGAACAGGACTAAGATTAGGATTGTCTCCTTCCCCGTGAAAGAAAGAAAAAGCATTAGACGAAGTAGCGTTGCTCTCCAAACTGCTAAATATTTGATCAAATTCTTGATCAGCAGACGTGATTTCAGTATGAATGACAGCTGCTTGGCAGACGGATGTGGCAGTGCTAGAAAATTACGATAAGTACTGATGCTCAACCATTTTCGAAAGAAACGTACAATGATATGGACTTCTGAGGAGAATCAAGAGCAGAGTGAGTGAGTAGGTTTCCTCCCAAATCGAATACATTCGGAATTTCTGGATCACTTTCTTTCGTAGATACTCCCGTGAAGATGTCCAAATCGCCCAGATCAATAATGCCTGTCCAGCTATCTTCAATTATGGAATGAGTGCTGCTTTGTGATACTGAAGGTTGTGACTCCTGAATGTCCGATAGGATAAAGCCACAGAAATTCCATAGGATCAAAATCATGCATTAACTTTTTTAGGAGTAGTAGTCTGTTCGCTGTTAAAATTTCGACAGCATAAACGAGGGAATAACCTAAAAGCTCGGCTCATCTTCTGTTGATGAACTTCCAAACACCTCACCAATTCCTAGACAAACGAATTGCGGCCTTTTACGCTACTCCTTCGACCAACATATAATCTGATAGCGAACACTAATAAAAAAGAGTATGAATGGTGCTCATGTAATGTTTGATTAGGTGTATATGTGCGGGTGAACACGGCTCTCATATGTGCGAACCCTTCAAAAAAACCACGACAGCCAAGCATGTCGCGTCATGACTACTGTCTAGGCGTGTTGGTAACTGCGATTCCGTTGTTATATCACGCATTCCTTCGAATGTTACGCCATTAACGACTTTTTTGGCCCACAAAGGCCGCTTTCGTAATCCACCAGTCGGCAAGCGAACGCGCGCGCCGGCTGACGACGGTGCTATCCACTTGTTTACAAACTGGATGTCAAGCGGATAGCAAGCGCCGTTTCCGATTGGCGGACTACGAAAGCAGCCATAGATCTGTCTTGCGGGGAAAATTCCGTAAAACGCATCTCACCAGGGAAGGGTTTCAACTTCCCACGGAACTTTGGATAGAGATCTAGGTACATCGATAGAGTTTCTAATGCTATTTACAAATTCATGAATTGAAATGCTAAATGGGTCTACCAAAAAATTGTGAGCACTCCAAGTTTACATGCTCAAAGCATGCAAAGAGAAAGTGCCAATTGGAATGCGCAGTCATCCGCACTTTCTTTGGGGTCACCCCGGCACAGTAGCAGTGCTCTGCCTCGTCAGGCGAGCGAGGTGGGTTGCTTACCGACGCCGCGACAGTTTTTGCAAAATGTGCTTCCTTTCAAATAAATGCTCTTATATAGTTTTTTGTAACTATTTCAAGCTAACGATTGCACTGTGTCCCAATTTAGTAGCTCTAGCCCGTGTCTTATATGGCAGAGCTTCTTACCCACCGTACTTGTCCTTTTCATATCTTTCAAGGCTTCAAAGCTGTTTACCTCAAATCAACCAATAAATTAACCGCACCGTCTAAGATATCTAGTCCACTCCAGCAAGCTCCAATATGTTCATTTTTATGAACCAACCATCATTGGTACTGTCAAAAGAGCCACAAAGATGATTTTTGCCTCCCGTTCATGTCAGGGATCAGTTTAACGAACCACAAAGTCATTCCAGAACATGAGTTGGCTTTTTATACATTGGCATTCGACGAAAATTTTTTAAATTGAAATTAGTAGGCTTGCAAGTATCAAATGAGTACGGATGTCTCATATTCAACGACAACGAAGTTGTTATTACATGTAGAATGTCAAGCTTCTGCTCGGACCGCACTCTGGCTCACATATCTTCTTCCAGACTTCGCGCTGTTACGACACATTTTAGACACGACCCCTTTCAATGAAAGTTCATGATATAAGAAAGTTTCTTGCATATTTTTTCAACCGCTGCAGTAAGGTAATGAAGCTCTTGTCATGCATTATATGTAGACCAGGTGAAGCTCTTGCGGAAGAAATGTTGTTCCGAGAGGAATGAGCGAGGCATTCCTATCAGGCAGATTCGAACGGTTGAAACCTATCTTGGACAGGTTGAGCCACACAAATAATGAGCAAATATAAGCACAGCAAATTGCCCATGATCGACCTTCTTCCAATCATGGCATGGTATGTAGTAAAGGTGACACTCTTTAAACCTCTTGAGATTGAACAATTTGTTTGGCCAACGTTTCGGCTGCTTCGCCTTCGTCAGGGTCTGAAGTAGTGATATGCATATGTGTGACGTGCTCGCCCAAAAGCCTTAAAAAACTTCAACAAAACTTCAAAAAGACCAGCAAACCCCCAAATGTACTGATCGAATGAGTCATGCATTGCTCACCTTGGAGTCCGCCGCTAAGACAGTAGGACGACCCCCCTCACAACAACTGTTGTTTTAAAATTACCAGTAACACCCCCCGCTAAAGAACCCCTTATGAACAGGGAGGAGTGTGTAGCCATAACCCGCGAACTCGCACCCTTCCTTGACATGTGTAACCTTTGATCTACGATGAGGTCAGTGGGAGATGTTACTGGTAATTTTAAAACAACAGTTATTGCGAGGGTAGTCGTCCTACTGTCTTAGCGGCGGACTCCAAGGTGAGCAATGCATTCCTCATTCGATCAATACACTTGGGGGTTTGCTGGTCTTTTTGAAGTGTTTTGTTGAGGCTTTTGGGCAAGCATGTCACACATTTGCTTTGCGCTATTTCAGGCCCTGCCGAAGCGAAGCAGCCAAAACGTTGGCCAAATAAATTGTTCAATCTTAAGAGGCTCGAAGAGTATGACCTTTACAGCAAATTGCATTGATAGAAAGATAACTATTAGGTTGGAAGGAAAGTCCTGCGACACAATGAAGGTCTTCTTCAAATCATTTCTGAAATTTTCCAGGCCAGTCAATTTTCGGAAATATATCTACCAAAGAGGTCAACAACCTTCTATTATCCTTTGAGTAAATCACTGATGCCTTTTATCCAGGAGTGAGGAAACTGTGACTCATAGAAGTAATTGACTGCCGTTTTCAGATCACATTAAGTTACGAATTTTTTTTCCACAACAGGATGCTCAACAAGGCGGAGCGTATGGTAGGTAAAAGGGGCAACACTTAGGGAGTACGACTGATGAACAACCTGTAACCAATTCGAATCGTGGATCTTTTGACACGTGTTCAAACGAAATTTCGACGTGCGCTGTCCCTCTGTAGGGACCTGATTAATGGTTTTGATCGTCCTTCTCTAACCCTGTTAGCCAAATTTCGGGGTTTATAGTGGTAACCGATAGCTGTGTCCATCTAGTCTGCGTTTAGCAATTCATAGTGGAAGGATCCCTTCAACCTCCTTCAAATTAAAAGACGATGCTTGCGTTAATTCGAAGGCTAGAATTTCCTCCAGTGAAGCGGTCCAACCGATTGCTGACCGTTGATCGGTGAGCAGTGCCAGCACTTAATAAGTTGCTGATAATTTGAGCTGCTACACCCGCGTTTTTCCCTTGGCGTACTTAGAAGAAGGTGATGGTACGAATCGGGTGTTGTCCATTTAGTGACCGCAATGCTGCTAAAGCCCACACGCGTGCCCTTAGTTACTCATGTGTTGATTACCTGAGGAATGTCCTATAAGTTTATCACTCTTGCTACCGTGTTCACACTGATGATACAAATTGTTGACGCTTCAAATTTTTTGTCGCAGGACTTTCCTTCTAACCTAATAAATCCTCTTCTCAGGGAACTTTTACGGAACTTATGAAATTTCGTTATTAAACATTACATTCTATATGTAGTGTTCTTCAGACAAGCAAGAACCGCTAATCTGCTTAAATTTCATTCGGCTTGTATAGGAGCATCATGTCATTTCTGACCAACGGTCAAAATTCCTGCCTAATGAGCAGAAGCTCAACGAGGAAGTTTTATTGCAAGCAGTTGTCTGCCACATAGAGTCTCTACGCATTGCTGTGGATAAAGACTGAAAAACCATGCCATGCTGGAAGCGGAGCACGTCGGCGAACAGTAAAATTGGAAGCAGTGAGTAATGGGCAGTAAAGGAACAAAAAGCGTGAGGAAATGAAGTGAGGAACTCCTTTCAAACAAGTGCACTGGTCACAAATGATAGCCGAAACAAGGCGTTAGCTTGAATTAGTCACAAAAACGGTATAAGAACAATTATTTGTGAGAAAGAAGTTTGCAAAAATTGCAATGCGGAAAGCAAACCAACCTCACTCGTTTGAAGTGGGAGACACATTCACTGCGCTAAGGTGACCCCTATGAAAGGGCGCATAACTAGCGTAATTGGCACTCTCTCTTTGCATGCTTTGATCATACAAACTTGGAGTGCTCACAATTTTTTGGTAGACTCATTTAGCAGTCTCAGTGACGCAGAATGCGGGCTTCAGCGCAGAATGCGGGCCTCAGGAAGCAGTTGGGAAGGCAGCGAAGAGATTCCCTGTTATCGAAGTGACCTGTAACACTGACATTACAATTACGAACTGAAAGAAAATGGGGCTCTTTTTTCTCTGAAACCAATTCTTTGTCGAAACACGGAAATACTATATGCGCTGCGCTCGGTACCTCTAGAAGATGAAGATCGCGGCGATGAGATATAGACGGAGATATTTGTCATCCTTCATGAAGCCACAATTTTTGCCGAGAATAGCCCTTTCAGAATCACCAATCAGGCTACGTTCCCAGAAGCTATTCACTCCACGGGACAAGATCATTCTATTGTACGAGCACAGTTTCGCCGACTTCATATCGAAAGCGGGGAATGGAATTTTCCTATATGTGACCCGTAATTCTGTAAAGTGATTCTTGTGCCACTATTGAAAAAAGTTGGCGTTGCGTTAAACAACCTTCGCTTATTCCAGGATTTTCTGGGTCGGATCCTCACGATCGCTTGTGTTGGCTCATTCAGGGAGCGCAAACATTGTTTCCTCGATTGAAATGTACCAGACGAAGAGGGAGCGCTGTTTGATCATGGATAACAACACTCTTGAGTAGGAGCATTTCGACAGTGGCCGCTGTGCAGGTAACATTGTACTCAGTTTTCTGTACGTGAGCTTAGTGCGACCAACGGTCTTGTAAATGCACTCTTTTACAGCCCCAATAGGTCCTTTTCATACCTCTGCCATTCAAAAAGTAGAGGTGGATTGAATCGCTGTCTTATTTCTTGCAGTTGGATTCGATATGAATACTACAGCGCATTTTGAAAGAAGCGTTCTAACATCTTGCGCATACAAAGTTTGCCCCACTGTCGAATCTTATTGTTGTGGGCTCCAAGACGGCTGATATACCATGTAGAACTCTGAAGAGAGGCAGACGCGGAGAGGTTGCCACCGAGTTCAAGATGCACTCCGCACGCACGCTCTGCAGCTCTTCAGCCTCTTTTGCTTTATGTAGTTTTGAGAACTGAAATAGCTTCCCTAGAACGATAAATAACGGC